AGTCTCTCTACAGGGAGTGAGCCTCCATTGAGTTCCTTTGGGTCATTGACCAGGGATGTGAATAGCCTTCACTTCAGACAATGCATCAGAAAGTGAATTAATACTGATATAGTTAGGTTAACTTTTAACATCACTTAAAAATATTATCATTTGATTTACTTTTGACCCATTATAATAATGTATTCTAGTTTTTATTATATTTGGATTGAAGTTTTTCAGTGTTTTATTTTGCTATTGGATATTTTTATCTGGCTTTAAAATCCAGGATAGGTTCATTTATAGAGACAGTAATTACATTAATTGTTTCTAAGGGTTTTGGTAGAGGCTGTTGGGGAAAATGGGGAGCTAATTAAATGAGTACAAAAATGTAACTTTTTAATATCTTCAAGCCATTGAATTGTATAGTATGTGAATTATAGGCCAATAAAACTAAAAAAAAAGAAAAGAAAATCCAACACCCTTTCCTGATTTAAAAAGGAAGAGCCAATAAACTAGTAATAGAAGGGCGATTCCTCAACATATGCAAAACTACGGGTTGGAGCTGCCTGTGGCATAATGTTACATGTTGGGATGCTAATCACAAGGTCAGTAGTTCTAAACCACTCTATGAAAGAGTGATGAGGATTTCTGCTCCCAAGGAATCAACAGTCTTGGAAACCACAGGGGGCAGTTCTACCCAGCCCTATAGATTCACTATGGGTCAGACTCAATCTGATGGCAGTAGATTTGGTTTGGGCTTTGGCTTATGAAATTCAAAGTCAACATCTCACTTAATGGGGAGAACCCCAAAGCATTCCCATTGGGAAGGAGAGTCAGAGGAGTATGTCCTTTATCACAACTCTTATTCAATATTGTGTTTCAAGTCTTAGGGCTATTAGAGAACAACAGAAATCAAAGACATCCAAATTGGCAGAGAAGAACTAAAACTTCATTTGTAGCTAATATATGTAGAAAACCCACACGACTCAATAAGAAAACTGTTGGACATTATTGAAAGATTCAACAATGTAGCAGAGTACAAGGTCAACATATAAAAAATTAATTGGATTCTTATGTACTTATAATGAGAGCAGTGAAAATGAAATGAAGAAAACAATACCATTTACAATAGCTATTCAAAAGATTAAATATTTGGGAATAAATTTAACCAGAGAAACAGAAGATCCCGTACAAAGAAAACTAAAAAACATTAAAAGAAACCAAGAGACCTTCTTCAATGGAAGAATAAATCATGGTCATGGATAAGAAGACATAATATTGTCAATGTCAACACAGCCCAAAGCAAACTACATTGCAGTTCTGACCTAGATCCCAGCATCATTATTCAGAGATGGAAAACCAAATCAGCAACCTTATATGAAAAAGAGACCAAGGATAAGCGAAGCACCAAGGATAAGCAAACCAAAGAATAATAGGGGGAAATAGGGAGCTAACAACAATGAGTATGAGAAGAAAGTGTTCTGAAATTGATTGTGGTGATGGTTGCACAAATCTTCATAATACCATTGAATGATTAAATTGTATGACATGCAAAGTATATGCCGATAAAGTATTTTTTTAACACTTTATTAGGGGCTCATACAACTGTTATCCCAATCCATACACACATCAATTGTGTAAAGCGCATTTGTATATCGTTTCTCAAAACATTTGCCGATAAAGTATTAAACAAAAAAGAAGAATGAAGTAGGAGGCCTCTCACTTCCCCACTTTGAAACGTACTACACAGCGGTGGTAGTCAGAAGATTCTGGTACTGACACTAATGGAACAGAATTAAGAAAACAGAAATAAATCCATCCATCTACAGGCAACTGATTTCTGACAAAAGGCCGTAGTATATTAAATGGGGATGAGATAGTCTTCTAAACAAATGGCGTAGGCAAAATTCATTTCCATCTTTAGAAGAATGAAATAGGACCCAGATCTCACTCCATATAAAAAAATGAACTAAAAATGGATTAAAGACCTAAACATAAACACCAAACTATCAATGAAAAAACAGGAACAAGCTTAGGGGTCCCCAGACATGGCATAAACAAACTATCAAACATAATGAAAACATATATATGGAAGAAGACCAAATAGATTACTGAGATCTCCTACAAATAAGACGCTATGGGCATCAAAATATTTCACTAAAAGATTAGAAAGAGAAACCACACCAGCATTGAGATGCTTCACCCTTCCTGTTGACAAGACACATTGAGCCATGTGAAGACTTGCGGAGACCCACCACTGGCCTATGATCTTCCTGCATTTTGCATCATTGCATGTGCTGCGTGAGGCTGAAGAAGGATTTATGGACTAGTATTGGACTTTGGAGCTAATATGGGACTTATGGACTTGATCTGGACTAGGCGGGGATATTTCCTTAATATACAATTACTCGATTAACCGCCGACCGCTAATAAAGAGGTAATTACCTTAGAAAAATACAATTACTCTTTGATGTAAAGCACTTTCTTATACATATGATGGTCCTTGGATTTGTTTCTCTTCTCCACCCAATCTAATACACTGTGAAACACTTTATAGCATGGATGGATTTGGAGGACATTGTGCTGGATAAAGTCAGTCAACCACAGAAGGACAAATAAAGATGATCATACCTAAAGAAATAGATCATGATGCTTACCTGGAGTAAGAGAGGAAGGAATAGAGGGGGAAGTAGAAGGTAGATGGATGTTAACTTGGGTGAAGAGAAAAATAATCTTACTTATGGAGATGGATGGAAATATAAAAGGGGGAAGGGCAAGCTTTTGGGGGATTTGATAATTAAGGTTGTTGAATTAAAAAATGATCTCACATGTAATGCCCCACTTCATTCACAATGAGAAGTTTTTTTAAAAACAGACAAACCACTATTTGTAAAATAACGGCAATAGGGGAATTTATGGTTGGTGTAATTAAATATAATGATAAGGAAGTGGGTTTTCCTCTTCTATTTATTATGTAACTTTGGAAAATATAGTTTGCTGAAGCTCACTTGTGTCTTCTGCAACTAAGTAGTAGTTGGGTTTCTTTCCCATATACTTGTTTTGAAGATTAAACGAAATTTATGTAACATGCTCTTGAACTTTTAAAAATTACCTCTTTGTGTCATCATTTTGTTGTTGAGTGTTGTTGATTGCATTTCATCCCCCCTAAATAATCTGAGTGGATCATAATTGACAGTAGTTTCTCAGTTTTGTCATGATGTGATCATCATTCACAAAATGTGATGTGGTCAGCCAGTCGGTCCTGAGGTGATCCCCATAGGATACAATACTGCCACTCAAGCCCTAGGAGTATGACCGGGTTCCTAATTTTCTTACAGGCAGTAAAAGGAGAAAGCAGCAGCAGAGAATGAGGGACCTCAATACCACCGAGATGGAAGAACCCCCTTGACCCAGGGGAGGATTGATGCCTCCAGTGACGGTGGTTCAATAATGAAAATTCCTGCTTTGTGGAAGGAAGATCCAGGTTCATTTCCTGGCAAGTGTACCTCCTGCACAGTAGGCTCCCATTTGTCAGTGGAAGTTATGTGTTGCTATGACGTTTGACAGGTTTCGTTGAAGCTTCCAGACTAAGACAGACTAGGAAGAAAAATCTGATAATCTGCTTCTGAAAAATCAGCCAATGAAAACCCTAAGGATCACATCCGTCCGAGCCTCATAGAGTTGGCCTAGGACCAGCCAGTGCTCCTTTGTGCTTGGTGCCAGTGAGTTGGGAAGCCAACTCAACAAGCATCTACAGCACCTACTGTACACATGTGAAGATGAAAGCAAAGGCACAAATTGTGAGTTGGTCATTGAAAATAGTTTGATACATTTAAGTCTATCATCCTTTGTTCATTAAAGAATATTTCAGGATTTCACTTGCCTAACATTTCAATAGAATGCTTGCAAACGTTTTTGCTCTGTTGCTGCTTAATATGCCTGCTATAGGACATTTGCTTCCTGTGTGTGTCTCTCTCTCCTTCCAAATATCTAAAGTTTTCTTGTTGAAATTTCAGCTTTCATCTCCCAGGTTCTGATCTTTCCCAAAGAGCCCGTGTAACTTGGAGAGTTGGTGTGGAAAAGCTTTGGGTAATATTCATATGAGCCCACTTAATTCAGTTCTACTTCAATCTCTTTAATGACTCACACTCATTGCCATCAGGTCAATTCTGACTCATCGTCACTCTGTAGGACACAAAGTCTATTTTGGCAGTTCTTTTTTGGTGGTTTTGAGATTCTTTCTTCCGACTTTTGAACAGGACTCGCATTATACCCAGTAGAATGGCAAAACTGACCACCAATTCCCTCCATTAGAGTTTCCACACAACACTATTTGCATTCCTCCACCCAGTCATTTGTGGGAGTTGAAAAGAATATGGATCTTAAGAGCCAGACCAAGTAATTTTTCTTCACTGCAGTCTCTAATATCCTTGTAACAGGTACTTCCTAACCCTTTCCACATCTCCACAGATAGTCATTTTCCCTTATGTTATTCATCCCATGGGTACATAAAAAACCAAAAACATGTATTCTACCTACCAGCTCCTTTCTTTACTCCTCCCCTTTCTGCTCCTGCACCTCCTCTTCTTCCTCATTCATCATGTTCTTTGCCCTCAAATTGTATCCCTTTTTCTAATAATCACAAACAGGATGATGGGACGTCTATAATCTGGAACTGTAATCAGGTTGCTAAAGGTTCATGTATATGAGAAAAATCATACAGCCATGAAAGGTTGGAAGGAGATTGTTGTACTTTTGCTGTATCCACACAGCCTAAGAATTCAATCCAAAATATTTAATATTTTAGCAAAGGAACAGAATTTGATGGAGACAGGGAATAAAAGAGAAGAATCTAACAAGTCAGTAAGTAAATCGGTGATAAAGACTTTTATCTTACATTCCTTTACGCTGCAGTTTCCTTAAAGAAATGAACTCTCTAAGATAGCAAATATGGAGGGAATAAATTTTAAACAAAATATTCATTTTGGGGGGTGCCTCTGCCCTCTTTGGCAATATGTACTTTATTTATTCATTGAAAGAAAAGGGGATTTCTTTGCCTTTTTAGACTCGGAATTCAAGTCCTGCTGTTGACTGGGACTTTTCTTGGCCAAAATAACTTCATCTACAGTCACCAGCTGTAACACTACATCAGCTACCACTTGAAGTCCTCGGGCTTTGGCCATAAGGGTGTCCCACACCTGCTCCTTGGCGACATTTATTATCCCTTCTTGCCCCACCCCTATGAGGAAGTTTCCATCTTGGTGAGCTCTGTGCATTTCTGTCATCACGTTGGTGACAGTTAAGCCTGCATTCTCTGCCAGTGCTTCAGGAAGAGACCTGAGGGCCTGGGCAAAGGCTAGGAATACAGGACCACCAGCCCCTTCCAGTTTGCTTCCTTTTTCTGAGAGAATTTTAGCCAGAGTCATCTCTGTGGCCCCAGCTCCAGGAAGCAGCCTGGGGTCCTGACACAGCTGGAAGTAGGCATCAATTCCATGGTAGACAGCCTGCTCTATACTCCTTAGTCCATCAGTTGTGGCCCCCCTGAGGACCAAGGTAAGGGCAGGAGCGTTTGGATGGTCCCATTCGAAAACCACAGCCAAACTTTCTCCCAGCTCCTGTGTATAAACTCTCTGGCACTTCCCTGGCACCAGAGGAGGAATCAGATAAGAAAGCAAAGGTGTGCCCAACATCTCACTCAGGTATGCCATCTCCTTCCGGGACTTGGCTTGAATCACCATGATGCTAAACTTTTCAGCTTCTACTAGGGTCTTCTCATCGATTTCCCCCCACACCACCACCACGTTAATATTCATAGCTGTTAGCTGGGCTATCTGTTTTTCTGCCAATTGTTCCTTTTCTTTACTAAATTTAGTTAGGTCCTCAGGACTAGAAAAACAGGCAGTTGCTGGGGCATTTGTACTGGCTGGTCCAAAGGGACAGGTAAACAGAGCAATCCTGGCACCCCTTAAGACCATGGTCACTTGTCCGCAGGGTTTCCCAGCCACCGCCAGCCCTGGGAGAAGGCACGAGTCTTCTAGTGTAGCTCCTCGCAGAGTGCACACGCCCAGGCGCTCAGGGTTAAAGTTCCCATCCAGCTCCCGGATGGTCCAGCAGGCCTGAGACACTAGCTTGGTCAAGAAGTCCGTCTGGAACAGAGCGTGGGTATTCATCACAGAATAGAGGGCCCAGAATGGATCTTCCAAGGGGCCCAGGGACGCGATCACCAAGGAGGGCAGTATGGCCAGGACCTCAGCTGCAGCTGTTGCATAGGCCTCCCGAAGCTGGGCTCGCGGTAGGCCGGCCCTGAGCAGGAGTTCGGCCTGCTCGAGAAGGGCGCCTGCCAGGAGGACCACAAAGGCCGTGCCGTCGCCCCTGCTCTCAGCTTGGGTCTGAGCAGCCTCTCGGAGGAGCCAGGCTGCGGGGTGCTCCAGCTCTAAGGCCCTGAGAATGGCCAAGGCATAGCCGGTGCAGACAGTGTCTCCCTTGGCAGTCACCAGCAGCTTCTGGCGTCCGTGAGGACCGTAGCAAGGCCGGATGATACTGATCAAGGTCCGGGCCGCTGCTGTGCTGCTCAGCAGGTCCTTCTCTTGTGCTCCTGGAACCGGGATCCCCGGCTTTGCGCTCTGGCTCAGCAGCTCCGGCAACTCCGGGGTCGAGGTGCCTCTGGTGTCCATTGTCTGTGGGGAGAAGGGAGACTATCATGGGCTCCCAAGGCGCTCTAGAAACTGCCGCTGGGCATCGTGGACGCTAGTCTTTGAAGCTGCTCAGGAGTCCCAAACCCATGAGTTGTGAGGTCAAGATGGACCTTAGTTCAGGTTCAAGGATTGACAGTGAAAGGATTTGCTTCTGATCTGGTTCAGCCTCTAATCATCCTCTCTGATGGGTTCTGTACAGAAAGTGGGATCCTGGGCCCTCTGAATCTTGGGAGCTGAAACAGGAGCTCTCCTGGATGACATCACCCTGTGGCTTCTGGAACCAAGGTCAGGGAATGAGATCACAAAAGGATGTTTGGGGTCATCCTATCAGTTTGAGCCTCTTTATCAGGTTTCTTACAGTGCTTGTTGTCTGTTTGTCTTTCAAGCTCCAGGTGTATGAGGCTGCCACAGCCTATTAACTCCTCCAAATGGCATTGGCATCACTAATCTGGCAAAAGCAGGCCAAACGGGGGTGGGGGTGGGGGGCAAGATGTAGCTGGAAGATGCACAACTGGAAATAAACCCAGAGAAACAAAAAGCAACCAGCCTCCCAATGGTCACTGAGGAAGGTAAAGGGCAGAATAGATGGAAAACCACTGTGCATAGAGCTGGAGCCTTGATGTCTTTTTGGTAATTTCCCTCCTACCCTTACCCCCTCGTTCCTTAGGATTTGCCTGCCTTATTTCCATCCTAGGGAGTCAGCGGTATAGTGACCATGTGTTGGGCTGGGCTTTGATCTGTAAGGTCTGACGTTTGAAACCACCAGCTGATCCGCTGGAGAAAGACAGGGTTTTCTACTCCCAGAAAGGGTTACCATCTCAGAAACCCACTGGAACAGTTCTCCATTGTCCCATAGGGCTGCTATGAGCCGGCATTGACTCCATGGCAGAGAAGTTTTTGGTCATTTCCATCCTCCTTGCTTTTGTCCTCCTTCCATTCATTCTCCTTACTCCCTTTTTTTTGTTTTTTGCTTCTTTCCTCAAATAGAGCTTACTAGGTGCAGTGACTTTTTTAATTTAACAGGAATTTGTGGATATGACTATGCTCAACGTGGTGATAGGAATTTAGTGACTTGTGAAGGAAACAAAGTTGCATGCAATTAATCCAATGTTTGATAGATGGTTGGGAAGGCCTCAGGTAGAAAAGTGGCACATACCTATTAAGATTAAGAGGGAACCAAAGAAAATCATTATTTTTCACTTGGGAAAAAAAAATCCTGTTTGTTTAATGATACATTTCCTAAACAAGAAATTGGATCCTAAAATCAACCTCATCATTAAGGAGTGATGATAGTATTAATGGGCATGGTGTTTATGTTTCTGCAGACAAGAGGATATTGAGAAATAATATGGAAAACAAAATTATAGTGAAAGTTAGATGTCCTTAAGGTTAAAAAGAGATAGTTTCTGAGGAAAATTTTTTTTCTGTGCAAAATAACTAGGTGGTTTTGTGAAACTGATATCCATTCATTATTTAAAAATTAAAAGAAAACTACAAAGAAGAGACTGAAGGTCACCTGGTGTCTTAGTTAAGATTTTGTATCAACTTGACTGGGAAAAGATTCTCAGAGGTTTGGCAGTTAAGACCCTATAATCCTCTTAATGAGATATAACACGAAATAATCGCTTCCATAAGAAGACCAACTGTGAGCAGACAGTGAATGAAGAGGTTTTCTCAGGTAAGAGGCTAGAGGTTGCAAGTTGGAGTGGGGGCAAGTGGAGGTAAGGTCCAATTCCAACACAAGTCTACATTGTTGAAAAGCTTACTTGCTTTTATTGGGACTTGATCTTGCCAGTGGCTTGTCAATCTCCAATTCTTTGGACTTCAGCCAGTGACAGGAAGACAGCAGGCTTGTGATTACAGAGGAGAATGAATTTAAGACCAGCTGGTCAGGTTCGTGGCTGCAGGGGCAATGACTCCACGGCAGCAGGTTAGATGGCAGGCCCCTGATGACTCCCAGGGCTGGCAGGCAATGCAGCAGGTCTTGGATCCACTAGCTTCTGCCATCACCAACCTATTGTCTTCCTGCTGATCTCCCTCCAGTGCATCAGCCCTTACAGCTATGTGAGTCAAGAGAAGCCTCCAGTTTGACACCTGACCTATGGACTTGGAACATTCCCCACTGAAAACTTGCCACTTCTACAACTGTGAGAGACATTTTCTTGATATAAATTTCTCTTGCTAATATATATATAATTTTTGGTCGTTTTACTTCTTTAGCGAACTCAGATTGAAACACTTGGAATCCCAGTCCAGAGGTAACTATTGTTGACATTTTCATGTGTGCTATTTTGCACATATGATATACATACAGAGAGACTTATTCAATTTTAAATATTACATATCTTCCCCTAAACATTATGCTTGCTTTCAGATCCACATAGAAATGTTTCTAAGGAGATTGTTTGTTTGTTTTTAATTGTTTTATTAGGAGCTCATACAACTCTTATCACAATCCATACATACATCAATTGTGTAAAGCACATTTGTACATTCATTGCCCTC